AGTCTAAGTATATCAATACACCAGCTATGTTCTTGGTTCCTTTGTTCCCTAGTTAATTTTTATTGTTAAGAGATATGACACTGTTAATTTTCTATAACGATAATTGTTAACGGATGACTGTGAATTGTAATAACGAGATATTATATTGAAATATAAGAAGAATATCTATTTTTTATATGTATGTACTTTGTTGTTGAATCACGCAGAACAAACGACCGATCCATACAAAAATACATCCACGTGGATGCCCATTGTATCCACGTGGATGTATTTTTTTTTTATATGTATCAGTAATTATCATTGTTATTATAGTATTTATTACTGGAAATAAATTATCCTTCATAATAATGTAGAGTGATATAGTTATTTTTATAAAAAATGTGTTTTTAAACTACATAGTTATTACCTATGGATTTTTTCTTAAACTTCTGTTACAATTTTTTAAACGTTATTTGGTCTTTTTTTTGAAACTGTTTCAAAAATAGCTGTTATTTTCTTCACAATTGGTAATAAAACAAAAATAAAGTTAGAAAATTTTTAAAGTAGGTATTATACAAATCTTTTTATACCACTACCTAAAATTTTAAATCATCATCATCATCACACAAAACTAACATAAATTAAAGATTTTTATTGTACTAACAACAATATTAAAGCACTTTATACACTCTATATCGCCATTAAAACGATCCTCTCAGTCAAAGCACAGTTTCTTCCCTATAACCTAGTTTGCTTGCACTATAACCACGTTTAGCCTCATCACTAAACCCTGTACCACCGTCTACGCCACGCAACACTTTCACTAATGCAACAAAGTTGTATAATCGAAGGAAAAGTTTCAAAATTAGACGTCCTTATTGCGAATCCTTGATCAAATCCGTTATTTAGTACAGACATGCCAAGCTGTATGCTGCTGTTGCTTCATTACTCTGTACATTAAAAACTATTCGGTGTAACAGACAGTATATAAATATTTATAGCATATTTTAAGCTATGAGTTATATGGAATCATTCAGAAAATGTCGTTATAATAATAGGATACAAAGCGTTGATAGTTCGACAATGAGGAACACGTTTTAGGTCAAACAAGTTCGTTTCCCCGTAGATAAAGCTTGTTTACATAATGCCGGTATACCGTTTGGTTTATTGATGTCGCGTAACAGCTGACACACAGACTTAGAAAATTACAGTCTAGATAGGTTAAACATGATGCTACCTTTGCATCCTTGGATGAAACTCCAATGTCATATATAATGAATCAAGCAATAATTTGACCGATTACAATAAGGAAGTTCTCAATTTGATCTCAATGCACCAATTTTTTGGGAGTATTTTCCTGTATAATGTTTTAATAATTTTTGCTTCAAAATAATATACAGTGACGTAGAAAACGCTAAGTTCTTATAGTTATGATGCTATAACATGGAATAATTGTAATTATTTGTAATGATTTTCCATATTGCTACATAAAACAGTCATTATGTAATTAATTTCCTATGTTGCGACATAATTAAGACTAACACAAAGCGCTACATGTATTATGTACCTGCTGCCTGATGTGTTTTGCGCAATATTTATTCCGCTCATTTGATTATCGCGAAACGATGACGTCATAGAATAGACAAATCGCGAACTACCCCAAAAATGTTTGGGTTTTATATTATAGTTGCAATGTTTCTTATAGAATACTAGTTATTAGCCGCGACTTAAAAAATAAAAATATTAGTTTCATTTAAAATTTAAATCAATACTTGCGAGAGATATCATTATTATCAATGGTTTGAAGGAGGAAATAATGAAAATTTGTATTTTATTTTTCAAACATTCTGCTTACCCTACCCCAAATCTCTGTGCACGCCACTGGTATGTAGTAAAAAACGGTCATTTCACATTACAAACAGACACACCAATTTCATTTATTTGTATATTTTTTATATGATGATGATTATGGGCAGGCTTGAGTCATTGACCTATCCTATTCCTATAAGAGCCCTCGTGCTTTAGAAAACGTAACTAAAAATTATATTAATAAGTAATAACCTAATACTAAATTACTTTTAAAAATAAAACATCCTATAGCTAATATCAATTAATATGCCTTATAACAAATTAATGTATTGTGGCAATAATTATATTTAGACAGAACAATGAGATAAATGTAGTATCCAACTGGTATACGACACTTATAGTAATTAATGTCAATTAATTAATTAATTGTCATTAAAGTATTATGTCAGCTTTACTACAAGTTCACTTTATCCCTACTAATATTATAAATGCGAAAGTAACTCTGTCTGTCTGTCTGTTACGCTTTCACGCTTAACCAGTGAACTGATCTTAATGAAATTTGGTACAGATGTAGAGTTGACCTTGAGAAAGAACATAGGATAGTTTTTATCCCAGACTTTTGAAAGACGCGCGGAACTGCGGGCGGAAAGCTAGTACAAAATACATACAATATGTCGGTTTTTATAGGTGGAATTACATTAAATCTTTGCATATTAAAAATAAATAACTGGTTTTAAACAACAACAACTGAATTTAAAAATAATTTTCTAGACGTTTCCATTGCTTTACATCAACCCACGTCGATTTTTGATAGATAATTGTTAACGACGAAAGAATTATATTATAAAATCAGCTAGTAACTCCAAAAATAAAATCATTTTAAACGTATACACGAGAAAATCTCAAAAATATATCTTCCTATATTTCGTTTAGTGATCTCCTGGTACCGTTTATAAGGATTCTTTAAACATATACACTTTTTATTACTATTACGTACGTGTAAATGAATATGACACGTAATAAAAACACAACTAAATGGACACTTAAAACAAAAAATATAAGACAATGTTGCATCTATACATTAATGAGTAATATATACTTAAGAACCTTTTAACCCGGAATTAATTTTTTGTCTGGTACAACCAAAAAAAGACATTAACATCATAAAATGAGTTTTTTTTTGCGACTAATCAATAGTTTATAGCTATTTTGTTTATACCTTGTGTGGGAAGACAAAGTATGAATTATGCTAATTGTTCTATGAAGAGGAAAACTTTTAGTTATATTCAAGCTGCAATAATATTAATAATAGGAAAAAATGATTTTTTTTCGTTGAAAAGTGCAAGTAAGTACGCTGATTATATCCAAATATATATTATACGGACGATACGAGTAGTAGTGATAACCTAAGGTTATTCAAAAAGCATTTATTTCTTTCAATAATAATAATTAAATCTTTACTAGATAATGCATTTCGATCAAAACTTTCTTATATACATAAATACATACATATATAGATATATACCAGTTTTTGCCCGCGACTTCGTCAGCGTTAATTTCGGCATTTAAATAAGATATGTATAGCTGACCGGGCGAACTCTATTCTAGACTCCGTAAATAACCAGAAATTGGAATTTATTATGTATTTCTTTAAGTTCGAACAGAATTAAATATCCTATGACCGTCTCCTGGTTCTAAGCTATCTTCCCGCCAATTTTTAACCATATCTCTACAGCCGTTCTCGAGTTATAAATAGTGTAACTAACACGACTTTCTTATATATACAGATATTAATTCCGTTCTATATAATATTGCATCGCTCTAGCCAGCGTCATATATCTCTTCCACTGACACGGCTCAGCGCTCCCCATTATATATAATTATGAAACACAATAACACCAGAAGTAAGTATAATTTAAAGTTATAAATGACAAATACATAATATGTACCCTTGAACCGGGTAATAGGTCCTATCCACTTCTATCACGTATAAGGTTAATAGCGGACACGTGACGCTGCAGCTTGAGTAACTGCGCGTGCGCATGTACACAAATAGGCTTATATAGAGCTTTTGTTAGTACTATCATTGACCTTGGGATTAGTGACCTCAGCGTGAGCTTATCTCGCTTCATATAGTCTTAAAACTGATTATAATTAAAAATACAAAACTTATCAAGTATGCAATGATATGGCCAATTAAAAATATGTTATTATTTTCAGTTATTTAGCACATATCAGCATACCTACTTAGCTTGAGTATGCTAAAGAATTTTGGGCCTTCAAATTTACTTCAAATAAAAAAGCACTCCACTAAATTTTGGCAACGAATTTGTCAAAACTACGCCATGTCAATAACAATAAAATAAAAATTGATATAATTTGTTACTGAAACAAAAACTAATTCACTTCGTCATTACAAACGACGTAAAATAATTAAGCTAATTATATATGTTAATTGTATTAATTGTGGTAGTAAATGCGAAATACATTACTTAAATTTCAAGGAATAACCGCGAAAATCTTAGATCTCATTATGGTATACTAATACAATCACCTGGATTTACTTCTAATAAGAAAAATATTACTTTCGTAAGTCAGTCTATCTTTCATACAAGTCCTTTTAAGTAAAATAATATCGAAGTTATATGTAACAATATGGACATTTTTATTCAAACTACAAATAATTGTATGTTTATAATTAACAATTTCATTTAATTTACAAATAATATAAATCTATATTAAATAGCCGTTAAAAAAAAAAAACATGTTTTTTTTATAATTCTGAATTCTATAAACTTCACAAATTACGATTGTTTGTTAATTTTTTTCAATCATTACAATATTCATTTAAAATTTCCATGTGCGTAAATTGATTGTTTTAATGGAATAATATATATGACTCGGAGGAAGCTACGACATTCACCTTGAGAACTAAACGTGAGAGATCATTTTATATTCGCTAATTCGATGTACGTATGTATGTGAATTTGTTTGATCTTTAAAATGAAACCGGTTTTAAATTGTATATGATATGGCGCCAACAAGTTTGACATTTTGAAAGATCTCAGAAACTAACAATTTTAGATAAAGCGAGTAAAAAAATAGTAATTTAAACTGTCGCCATTAAATCTGTTGATACAAATATAATTAGAATAATGTAAATCTAAAAATATTTTAGGTTTTATAGGTATAATAAAATAATGGATACGTACCATGGTGCTTTCGCTAGTATGTTTTGACTGTCACCGTTTTTCTGTATACTTTTCGCCATGGCTATCTGAAAAAATAATTTATTAACATTAATTAGGTAATTAAAATGTATCTTTATCTTTTTTTATTTAAATCCGTTCAAAACATCTATTAAAGTTGCAAAGAATTATTTAATTTGAATAAAAATCTTTCGTATTATTTTAAGGTAGATATTAATTATCATGATTTAAATATTAAAATTTATTAAATAAAATTAAGTAAAATTTAGAGTTTTATTACAATATTTAACAAGTTGATCGTCAGGATATTCTTAAAAAAGATATATTTACTTCTTCATATCATCACAAGAATAAAAAAAACTGCATTTCGCTAGTTATAACTACTTCATTATTTTATTTATTCTTCATAAAAAAATATACCGAATAATATTTAATTACTGAGAAATAAAAATTACTTCTTAACGAATAACATCTGAAAATATTTAAGATGCTAAAATATCGAAAATATTCAAATAGATTTCCTTTATTGTGGAACTTTAGTTTGGTTGTTATTTTCTATACTCGTTTCATAACACAATTATTGCGTTCATACGAAATGAAAAAAAATATTAGGAATAAAATTATCGCGAAGTCATTAAACGATTGAATTTAAATCACAAATGTTAGAAACATAATATATGTTCTAACGTAGTATAATTATAAAGATATATTTAATAATCACAGTAATGCACACTTACTTTTTAATATATGATAAAACACAATATAAATACAATTACTACAAGTCCGCGTTACCGACGCGGCCTCTCAGCGTCGTACACCGCGGTTGACTGTTTGAAATTCGAAATTCGCGATGCGTTCAGTAATTGGGTCGGAGGGAGCATTGAGAAGTATTAACTTTATACAGCTTGTGTGAATCGCTTAAAACTTGTTTGTATTATAGAATAAGTATTTTATAACTATTCACAACTTATAAACGATAAGGAAATAAATCGACATTTTTACCTTTTAATTATTTATGTAAAATTATTAAAAATAACTTTCGTTTGACCTTCGAATAAATTAAACGAGTGCAATGCAATGGTATAATTATGCTATTAACAATGAAATAGTTAGATATAATTGACAAAGAGGCCTGAAGAAGTCTAGGAAGTTGCATTTTGTAATCAGATTTCAATGATTTTTTTATTGTATTATATTCGAATCTTGGTTCAAGAATTTAGCTAATAGTTGCTTTAATATAAAATAAAATTCTTATTATTATTTATAATTAAAAGTTGATTCTATATTTATGGAAACCACTTTTAGTTCCTACTTTTCCTTTTACGATTATATGTTTAAACGGAAAACAAATACAGGATGTAATAATTTCTGTTAACTCAGCGTTATTAAACATTTAATTGAAATTTTATTAAATAAATATTCAGTTGGTAAAACATTATTATGATTTTTATTGTTAATGGAAAAAAATAGAAAAAATTAAAAGTATATAATGTTATGCATACGATAAAATATTTTTTAATTAATAAAACAGAATAAAGGTAGTTTTTTTTTAACGTGTTAATGTTCTTGAGATTTATTATCTTGGAATTTAAATTGTTGTTCTGTCTTGTTTATACATTTATAAAATTATATATATTTATTTTGTTAGACGATATGTTTAATTCAGAACTGTAACATAGGAATATATATAATCTGTATGCTTAACCTATTATTTACATCATTACATTTCTATAATCTGCTCAGATTTTTAAACGTAAACTGTCAAAGTTCCTCATATGACGGTACAAACTTGTTATAAACTGATTTCCGTATACGATCCAAAAGATTAATCGGGAAGTTTTATTAGTGTTTGAATATTATATTATGTGGTCATAATACTTATGTTATTTATAAGTAACATTTTTTACGTTTTAAAGAATTTCCTGTTTTATTTTTTTACGATCTTTTATATAGAGTTTGAGTTTGTTTTTTATTTTCCAGGAATACATCCAAAATGTGTTCGGTGGTCAACAGCATTTCTACAGTTAGAGATTGGAATCCAAACATATACATAGATTACTTGTCATGATTTACAATATTTTAAAACTAGTCGTTTTTTATTTGTAATTGCATTTTATTTGAAGTTAGTAAAATCTATACAGATTTATCGAAGTAATAAACTACTCTAGATGTCTTGAAGTCTATTTATTAGCTACTTTTTTTAAAAGTAGACTATTCAATAATGAATACTAAAAAACCTGGCAACATCGGCAGATGTCAAATTTTAATATTGAAACAATTTAAAGGCATTGCTTGGTATGTAGATCCTCTCTGACAGGCATCAGACCAAGATGATGACGAAAATTTCTCATCATTTAAAGGATTCAACGAACTGGTGTCAGGTCCATCGCATTGTAGGAAGAGGAGCTTCAACAGTGGTTGGGACTTGTAACCCAGACATAGGTTTAAGGAGCCTCCATCTAATTAGCGCTATACGCTCATCTCCACCGTGCAAGCTCCTCTCTTTACCTAACCTAATTCAAAAAGAGCCTACTAGGGCTGATATGGAAATACGTTCTACGAATCAATGTTAGTTCTGTACAGACCCAAGTCTTTTAGAAGGTTGTAGAAAGATTTAGCTGTTACACCTCTCGCTCCCACTTCTACTAAGTACAAATTTACAACGAACCTGTTCTTAGTGATTTTCTAGTGAACTTACTGACCTTGACAACTTTGATTTGGAGATGTTGTTTTCCCAAGAAATCGTAAGTTCTATTAATATAACGCGCTTTAAAATTCTAGAATACAGAAATATGTCTCATCTGAACACGGAAGAACCAATATCCTCATAGAATTTATGTTGTTTCTCATACGTATCCATCGTTATAGATGTTTTATTTTATGGGCCTAAGGACTTTTCTTACTAAACCTATTGATCTATCGTTTATGGTTATTTCTTTTTTAGCTCTGTCTACCCACTAACCCAACGACTTTACGTATGATTTTGAGAACCGACGTGAATATTAATCGCTATTCAGATGTACCTTACATACGACCAGCAAATGCTTAGCAGTTCAAACCGCCTTATATATCAAGTTTTTTTTGGTACCTTTGAACCATTTAGAAATAAAATTTTAGCAGTGAAGATGAACAATTATTAACTAAGGTGCGCCATTTTAATGCTAACAGGATGCAAGATCTCCCATGTCAGTCATTCTGCATTTCTAAATTCATGAATTTCGTAAGTTCTATGGATTCTTCACAACTATATTTTTTTAATTCCCATTAGGAAATCAATGCCAAACAGGATATTTGTTTTTTTAAATATAATGTTGAAAATGTTGGTTTTAGATTTTTTGAAAATTTTTCGAGTTATTTTGTATGTAGAAATAAGAAAGGAGGCTGAATAGTTATTATTATAAGATATTTCATAGATGTTACTCATTGTCCTTTATGTTTTTCTTTCTTTTCGTTAAATTAAAAATATATTTTATCACCAACACAGATATGTAAACGGCATGGATCTTAATTAATAAAAAAAAAACTAAATAAGGAGTTAAAAATTAAATAATTTACAGTCTCCAAAATTCTAATTCTTTTTAAATTTATCTTAACATCGTGATCAATTTACAAATATCACCTGGAAAACCCGATCAAATTGACACTATCAAAATATTTTGCGTCCAAACATCGAGACAGGTTTACAAATATGAATACAAAATTAACAAGTTTTTTAAGATGGCGGTTGCAAAACGAATTTGAACCAAAATGAAACGACAAAAAAGGTTAGTGATAATCAAAAAAATTGGCTGTAACTCTAAATAGTATAAACGAAATATAAGATAAAATGCAAATCACTTAAATTATACATTTGAAATCAAATAAGGAATTAAAAAAAATCTTATGACCTTGAAAGGGAATGCATGGTGTCCAAACATAACTTTCTAGCACAAGGTCACGAGTGTGAACGTACGGACAGCGGCGCGAAAGATCAAACACAGATAATCATAATAATTTATATTCTGTAAAAAATCATTACCATATCAAAAACAAATGCATACTTTTGTTATATTAAAATATATCATTGAATCATATTTATTATCTATGGTTTGACAAAGAGTTTGTATAGTTATTACAAAAAAATATAAAAGGTTTATAATAATGTACTTTGATCTTCATATCTGTCAATGTAATGATTGTATTTAATTTATTTATTATAGTCAGTTTTATTAATAATTTTCTTATTAAAAAATCATGGCTGTTCACACATTTACTCTCATGAGAACTATGGACTGTGCACAGATAACGTTTCTCAACCATTTGCGAAACGGTTTAAAGAAATATGTATATGCATTTCTTCAATAGTGTTTGCTGGCTTACGAAACGATGGAGATACTTAACGGACTGGTCTTCAAGGCTGTGTTAGTTTATACGAAAAAATTTGGTCCAGATTTGGTTCACACAAAATGTGGCTAAAAGAAAACAAACTACTATACAACATATACTACAAAATATTTCGTTTTACGAGTACTTTAGTATCGAATATTATGTATATGTAATCCGCTTTAAATGTAAAATCTTATTTTTATATTAAAACATATAAATATGCTTAAAAACTGCATCAGTATTCAGTATTAGTAGGTTTTTATTTATTTATATATTTTTTTATTATATGTATATTAAAAATGACCGGGGCGATGACTGACGCGTTTTTTAAGTAGATTAATGTTTTTTCTTCTAATTTAAGAGTCAAAGGCCTACACGTGCTTCGTACTGGTTAGTATGAATATGTAGTAATGTCAAAAAAAAGTTTATGGTCATAAAACTATTTATATATGTGTATATGTAAAGCAAATTCACGGTATACAATTTAAATAATTACTATAATTCATAATTATGCTCAACTCTAATATTAATAAATTAGCAATTTATTGTCAAATTTAAATATTGTGTTTCCTATGAATTTGTAAATTCGTTTTCTTAAATGTCTTTTGCAAAACCTGAAATAATTTTATAACAGAACTATAGATGGATTGGAGATGTTTGTAAAACTGCATATAAAATCACTTTACGAGCCTAGGCG